GGTGGCAGCAGGAGCTGACGTGGCACCGCCGTGTCACCTTGTCCTGTCCCCTGTGCCACCTCCTTCCTCATTTCTGTATTCGCTTTTGGGGCTTAGAAGGAAAACGAAGCGGAGAAGAGGAGCAGGGGAGGGAGGAGCTGGAGACATTTCTCCTTCCACAGGTTTTTTCCCTATTTCTTCGCTTCCTTGTTTTCCTGCTTGCGGTCTCTTCCCCGACCTCTTGTAACGTGGCTGCCGCGACACGACAGGGGGAAAGCTGCAATTTTAGAATTTTAAATAACTGCTTTTAAAAAAAAACCCGAAACAGCCCAGAGGAAGGCAGCGTGTGCCCCTCTCTGCTCTGGCACCTGCAGCCGCTGGCTGGCCCTGGCACCTCTCTGCAGACACCCTGGCAAAAGGCGATGTTTACACTTGTCACTTTTATTTTTAGTGCATCCCAGCCCCAGCCGTGCCTCAGCACATCCTCATGGGCCAATTGCCACGGGGGAAGGCACCTCCCAGTAAATGTTGCTTCATTTCTGGAAGGACTGAGGAAAGAGCAATCCCCAGGTGAATCCTGACGGGAGCTGGCTGCAGGTCCCCGATTTCACCAGTCCTTCAGGTTCTTCCAGTTCACAAGGACAAGGCACAGCAAAGGCATTTGCTCTGCCAGTGGCCTCCCAGCACCTGATCTCTGTGAATGCAAACAACACTTAAAGCAGCCAAGTGCGACATAAACCCCTCACCCCAGCCTTGCAGCACCACAGAGGGGCCATCAGGCTAAATCCACTGGGGTTTCATGGCCCTTTGGGGTCTGTTTCCAAAAGGACCTCAAAGAGTTACAAATAACAGGGGCCAATTTTCAATTTTCCTTCATTTTGTCTCATTTGGCTTCTCCCCGTACTGCTGGGATGCCACTGAATGTTGGACAAGACCCATGAGCATCCTCACTGTGGGCACTGCCCAAGTGATCCCCAGGAGAAAGGATTTGCACCCCTGTCTACTGTTCAGTCCTGCCCAACATCAGCTCCCTTGAAAACACCCCAGAATGTCCTCAGCTTCAGCACATCCTGACCAAGCACAGGATGTGTAATGGATGGAAAGCAAATCATACTTTCCCTTTCCCCCTTCTGTGGGAGGGATCATGTATTTCACAGGAAAAAAAGGCCAGCCTGGTGCCAAAGTCCAGGGCTCTCCTCAGCAGGGGAAGCAAAGCCACAGGGGGATTTTCTGAGGATAAAAGCCTGTGGGTCATTAGAAGATGCTTTACAACAGTGGTGTCATAGCCTGGGGTCAGCCAGAGCTCTCAGGGAAGAAGGAAACCTTAAGTTCCTCTCCAAATCA